TTTAAGCAGTAGTTTTATTAACTGCCGAATGATATTAATTAATTCTATACTTTTCAATTTACAACAAAAAAATAAATACAACTCTGTATACATTCAACGGAAATTTATTAAATACGTCTCTGTGTTCTACCGCTATTAAATGGCGGCCCAATTCGTGAAACGTCACGGATTTCAGCTCCAGTTAGGTTTCTGGTTGATATCTATTCTGTGATATGGAGATAAGTTAAGTCTGTGGTTATCAAGATGAAGTGAAGTGCGTTGCTTGTTTGAAGGCTTCGTTTATTTTTATTGTTCTTAGCAGTTCTTAGAGTTAATTAATTTGTTACAAGTAAAGAAACAATATTGTATGTTCAGTTTATAAATAAAGATATACACACTGCTCAACAGGTTATGGGCCCAGTCCATGCCTAGATATAAGAGTTGGAAAATAAAGTACAACCACAGATAACACATAATTCTAAAGATTCTAAACTAATTAAAAAATAAATTCTTAAACCATTAAATTCTACGTAAAAAGGTGCTTTAGAAATGTTTTATAATAAAAATACAAAACTTTCCATAACAAAAAAATTACAGCGATTTGTTAAAAATGCACATTTTTGTAAAACATAACTCCTAAACGTTATCAGATATCGACGTGCGGTTTTCACCGTCATGTTTTTGATAAAAATTGAGCTCCAGACACCGATATTAATTTTCACCTATCTACCACAGCTAAAACCGAAAATTGAAAATTTCCAATTATATTCTGATTATTAAAGTCCCTAGATATATAAAGTACCGCAATTACCGCCATATTGGCGCCAAAACTAGCGGCAAATTTAAAAAGGAGGCCAACATTTCGCTGTTTCGGCTTTTTACAGCTGGTCGGTCCGGCGCCACCATGGCCGACTCTTATGACAGGCAAGCCGTAAAATAAAATATTTATTAATTGTAATAGAATTACGTTTATTATCTACAGTTTACCTTCATTTTTAACGTAATATCCAGGTGGTATATTAATATTCAATTTCATAAATTTAATTTTTAGGCCTATATATGTTAGAGGTTATAAACGAATGGTTTCATTACAAGTGTTTTTCATTTTGTATTAGCATTTATTTTATGGCTTTTAGCGCAAAGTACGCCAACAGAAGTAAGTTAATAGGTAAGAAGAAATAAAGTTGAATAACATTTAGAATTTTAGTACTTAATTCAGTCGAAACAATTGGAAAAACTTTGTTTGTTGATGAACGGGATACCTATACCATAAGTAAACTTTCCCTATTATACCAGTTATGCTGTAGTTAGTTTTGACAAATAAGCAGCATGATTTAACGAAAGTCTTTGGAACTATGAATAAGCTACAAACTTAAGGCCGGCTTTTATACGAGAAAATTTTGAACCATGGTTGAAACAAATAAATGTAATAATTAAATTGATATGATACATACTCGTTATTTTGAAATATATTAATATATTGATAGAAAGATTGTTTCAGTTAGTATTACTTCAGGTAGTTTGGCATTTTAGGTATGTAATTGTGCATAATTTAAAAATAACTTAGAAAGAAGCTTGAAATGCATAAGAGCTCTTTATGTATGCCGGTATAATTAAGGTTTGTTATGGAGTGGTTTTATACAACAAATTTATTATTAGTTGAATAAAAGCAAGTTAATACCATAATACAATAAAATATATTTTTACTCCTGCAATTTAATGTTATACTTTTAAAACAACAAGTGTCAATGTTTAAGTATCATTATAATAAAAAAGCATCATACTGCTATAAATCTAACATTGAAATAACTGTAATTATTGTTACATAAATTAAGTAGGCATAATTTTACCCGACAATATGTAAAACTTATCTTAACAATTTTATGTTATGTATAAAAATCAAATTTAAATCACACACTTTTATTTATAACCGACAGTATAAGACCAAATTTTTAAATATAACTTTACATGCTTACATTATATTGTTTACTTTTTTATTAGTAATTACAATATGAACTGAAAAAATATTAATTACTATCAATAAATACATAAAACTAATCTATTTAAGTCCATGAAAATAACTATATAGTTAGCATATGCATAAACAACATTCTTGTTATTAGGATCAAATTTATTTGAGCTTTTTCATTGTTTTAATTAATATCCCTGTTAGTCCTGACTGGTAAAACCACCTGGAAGCGATGTCATCCAAATCTATATATGTATCATAACATGGTCTCTTATTCTTTTAAATAATTATTCTTCGTTTGGTCTGATAATATATTGTAGATTTATCTAAACTTCTTGCTGCAAAATGTTGAAAACTAGTTCACACTAAACATTTAGAGAATGATTAAGTAGAGGATTTCACTTACACTTAGCATCCTTTTTAAAGATATGTATGGTAGTTTGCAAGTAAGGTGTTTTTGTCTTGTTCTAGATTAGATTTCTAGAGGTTGATCTCGGCCTGATCTGCAGACTGCACATTCTCAGATCTATTGTGGTCTTGTCTTGTTGTTCTAATGAAGTTTTATGTACCAATAAGTTATACTACAAATAAGATTGTTAAAAATATTCACTGGAGCATAAATAGAATTCAATCCACTACCTCGCGTGTATTGAATATCGACGATGTTAGAAAACACATCAAATTTTTCACATCAAGCGCGGCCTTTTTGTAATACACATTTTCACTAAAGATATCGACGCCTATACATTATTAACTAATAAATTTGTAGCATTTTAGTGGCTTTATAACTAGTTTAAAATATGTGGGTAAATATTTTTATCCTGAAATTGACAGCCTCTCAACATTTGACATGACAAATTCAGACAAATGTGACATTTAAACAGTCCTACCACTACAGTTTTTCCAGAAATACCCCAAAAATCCGCCATTTTGGCGCCAATAACATTGAACAAACCAATTGCGGTACTTTATATATCTAGGGACTTTAATTTCATCTAAAGTCCCTAGATATATAAAGTACCGCAATTGGTTTGTTCAATGTTATTGGCGCCAAAATGGCGGATTTTTGGGGTATTTCTGGGAAAACTGTAGTGGTAGGACTGTTTAAATGTCACATTTGTCTGAATTTGTCATGTCAAATGTTGAGAAGCTGTCAATTTCAGGATAAAAATATTTATCCATATATTTTAAAATAATTATAAAGCCACTAAAATGCTACAAATTTATTAGTTGGTAATGTATAGGCGTCGATATCTTTAGTTAAGAAATGTGTATTACACGAAAAGGCCGCCATTTGATGTGTTTTCTAACATCGTCGATATTCAATACACGTTAGGTAGTGGATTGAATTTATTTATGCTCCAGTGAATAATTTTAACAATCTTATTTGTAGTATAACCTACTGGTACAAAACTTCATTATAGAACAAGACAAGACCACAATAGATCTGAAGAAGGTCGTGGTCAGGCCGAAATCAACCTCTAGAAACCTAATCTAGAACAAGACAAAGACCTTACTTGCAAACTACCATACATATTTTTAAAAAGGATGCTATGTAAGTGAAATCTCTACGTAATCATTCCCTAAAATGTTTAGTGTAGTTTAGTTTTCAACATTTTGCAGCAAGAAGTTTAGATAAATCTACAATATATTATCATCAGACCAAACGAAGGATAATTATTTAAAAGAATAAGTTATGTTATGATACATATATAGATTTGGATGACATCGCTCAGGTGGTTTTACCAGTCAGGACTAACAGGGATATTAATCAAAACAATGAAAAAGCTCAAATAAATTTGATCCTAATAACAAGAATGTTGTTTATGCATATGCTAACTATATAGTTATTTTCATGGACTTAAATAGATTAGTTTTTTATGTATTTATTGATAGTAATTAATATTTTTGGTTCATATTTTAATTACTAATAAAAGTAAACAATACAATGTAAGCATGTAAAGTTATATTTAAAAATTTGGTTTTATACTGTCAGTTATAAATACCAAAAGTGTGATTTAAATTTGATTTTTATACATGACATAAAATTGTTAAGATTCATTTGAAGTTTTACATATTGTCGAGGTAAAATTATGCCTACTTAATTTATGTATAACAATAATTAGTTATTTCAATGTTAAATTTATAGCAGTATATAACTTTTTATTATAATGATACTTAAACATTATGACACTTGTTGTTTTAAAAAATAACATTAAATTGCAGAGTAAAATATATTTTAATTGTATTATGTGGTATTAACTTGCTTTTATTCAACTAATAATAAATTTGTTGTATAAAACCACTCCATAACAAACCTTAATTATACAGCATACATAAAGAGCTCTTATGCATTTCAAGCTTCTTTCTAAGTTATTTTTAAATTAAGTGCACAATTACATACCTAAAATGCTGAAACTACCTGAAGTAATACTAATTGAAACAATCTTTCTATCAATATATTAATATATTTCAAAAATAGCAGGTATGTATCATATCAATTTAATTATTACATGTATTTGTTTCAACCATGGTTCAAAATTTTCTCGTATAAAAGCCAGCCTTCAAATTCAAAGTTTGTAGCTTATTCATAGTTCCAAAGACTTTCGTTAAATCATGCTTATTTGTCAAAACTAACTACAGCATAACTGGTATAATAGGGAACGTTTACTTATGGTATAGGTATCCCGTTCTCATCAACAAACAAAGTTTTTCCAATTGTTTCGACTGAATTAAGTACTAAAATTCTAAATGTTATTCCAACTTTATTTCTTCTTACCTATTAACTTACTTGTTGGCGTACTTTGCGCTAAAAGGTAACATAAAATAAATGCTAATACAAATGAAAAACACTTGTACGGAAACCATTCGTTTATAACCTCTTAACATATATAGGCCTAAAAATTAAATTTATGAAATTGAATATTAATATACCACCTGATATTACGTTAAAATGAAGGTAAACTGTAGATAATAAACGTAATTCTATTACAATTAATAAATATTTTATTTTACGGCTTGCCTGTCATGAAGAGTCGGCCATATTGGACCGACCAGCTGCTTAAAAAGCCGAAACAGCGAAATGTTGGCCTCCTTTTTAAATTTGCCGCTAGTTTTGGCGCCAATATGGCGGTAATTGCGGTACTTTATATATCTAGGGACTTTAGATGAAATTTCTACGCAGCGCCATCTATCCCTCTACTGGCATAAACTCCGCCGTGTTTCCAAAATTCAAATGGCAGTTTCATCCATGTTTCATCCGCCTGTTAGTCATATTGTGGATTGAACCTTTACGTTTATTACGTGTTTATTACTTTATGGGTTCAACTTGTTTCTTCGTTTTCGATATTGGTGTTTAAAATTAAAAATGTATTATTTTTATTTACTATAAGAAATACAGGATATGGTATAGACACAGGAATAGAAAATAGTGTCATAAAAATAGAAACAGTAAGAAAAAATATATTTTTTAAAAGGATGCCTTACAAAAATCCTATAATATGCTTAAAATGTGAAACAACAGAATCATCTTTCTGGACTAACGCAGAAAATTTGGGAGTCATTTGCTTTAACTGTGTGAACGAGGCGAAAAAAAACAATGACACAGATTGTGAACTCAAAGACGACGAAGATGAAAAACCAAATAAAAGAAAAACTAGAACCACAAGATCACATAAAACAAGGCTAAATCCAAACCTAGTTGCAAAACAAAACATTGGAAAAGGCAGAGGTCGAAGGGGCTTATTCAAGAAAACTCCTATAAAAGCACCTACAGCAGTGGCAACTACAGTTACTGGCAGTTATGTATTTTACAAGGTATTATTGTTACTTTATGTTACGTATGTGGTATTTAACTTATTAATTTCAAAGGGATCTTATATTCAAATTGGAGATATTATGTCATTAAAAGATGAAAATGATGATTGTTATTATGTGCAAATTGTTGGTTTAATGACTGATCAGTATTGCCATAAGAGTGCTGTAATACAGTGGTTGTTGCCTACAGAAGAAAGTCCACCACCAAATGAGGAATTTGATCCAGCTACATATATAATAGGTAAATCAGAATTTGAAATATAGCATATGCTACTTAAATAATTTAGCAGTTTAACTGTGTGCTTTTAAGGTCTTAATTTTTATACATATTTTTTAATACTTATTAGGCCCTGAAGAGGACATACCAAGAAATTTAGAATGTATGGAATTTGTAATGCATGCCCCATCGGACTACTATAAGTCTAAAAGTACCCCTTATCCACCAGTTCTTCCTACAACTGATGCTGGATATATCTGGACCTCAATAGAGTCAGTGAAGAGGAGTTAATCATATTCACATTTGGAATAATTTCTACAATATATTTATGTATACAAATTTTTTGAGTTTTATGTGTAAATAAATTAAAAAATCACATGTAAAAGAAATTGCATTCTATACTTTTCGTTCTTCATATAATACAGATTCCTGAAAATGATAAATAGATCTAATTCAATATGTATGTTATATTTTACATTACCATCCATTTCCAGAAAATCTTTTCATGTTTTAGCCATTCTGTATAAGCATTTAATTGATGTAATACAGGTTCAGAATTATTAATAAAGTGCTCAGTACATGATTGGTTATTTAATGCTAGCAGCTCAAATATTGTTAATGAGCCGTTGGCTTTAACACATAGATTATTATTAAGCTAAAAAAATATACCTATTTAGATAAAGTGAAATAAAATCTGAACGAAAGCTACCTTATTGTACATTTGTGTAATTTGATGACTATATTCATAAATCATATTTTCATTTGAACTTATTTTTCCTTCAATCCATTTTTTAAAATTTTGTAATTCCTCCTCATTTAACTTATCAAAGTCTAACGAAATATTTTCTATACTTGTAATATCAAAGAAATAATTTTCAGAGAATACTGATACTTCTAAGTGTTTTTCGAGCTGACTATTTAAGCACAAACATAGAATGAAACTAATTGCCAGAAGTAGTTCCCGGCTTCCACAATGTTCTGTTGTATTAAAATAAAATTGTTTCCTTGTATATTTCAAATCAGCTAATGTGCCTTTAACTTCTAATATATTGTTTTTATTTAACATTTTAAATAGAAGATTCCATAATACACTCACCTACAAATACAACAAAAAATTTTCCATATTACAGAATAAGAATATAGTTTTTATATAAAAAAAATAATTATTCTCGCTTATGGATTTATAGGTATGGACCTCAGTGAAGAAATAGAATAGTATATTTAAATCAAGTTCTTTTTTTCTGCTCAAAAAACCTTTAGGAATGATGATTACCACATTTTCATCAGTTTTATTAAACTTGGATAAACGGAAATACTCTGGTTTTAAATTAGTTTGATATATTAAATTAAGTAATTTGCAGAGTTTTCCTATTACGTTCTTGATATCTATGCTCATTGTAGTCCAATCACAGAGTCCAATATTTGTATATCTTTCATCCAGCATCCGATTCAGATCAGATTTCATGATGCATCAAGCCCCGTTCTCAGAACTGCGTCGTGTCGACAGCGACACTGATTGACACTTCAAACGACCAATGGGAGCTGTACTAAATTTAAAATTGACAGTTGTTTGAATTTTGTACAAATCTCATTGGTGCTTTTGAAGTGTCGCTGGCGACAGTCGCAGTTCTGAGAACGGGACTTAAGGATGCAACTGAAGTCCCGTTCTCAGAACTGCGACTGTCGCCAGCGACACTTCAAAAGGACCAATGAGATTTGTACAAAATTCAAACAACTGTCAATTTTAAATTTAGTACAGCTCCCATTGGTCGTTTGAAGTGTCAATCAGTGTCGCTGTCGACACGACGCAGTTCTGAGAACGGGGCTTTAAGCCCCGTTCTCAGAACAGCGACAGCGACAGCGACACTGATTGACACTTCAAACGACCAATGGGAGCTGTACTAAATTTAAAATTGACAGCTGTTTGAATTTTGTACAAATCTGATTGGTTCTTTTGTCGTGTCGCTGGCGACAGTCGCAGTTCTGAGAACGGGGCTTTAGGTTGCATCTATGTTTTATACATCACCGTAGGACATCACTGTGGTGGTTCCACTCATAAAATATTAGAGTTTCACAGGATTTCACTTTTCGGTAATTACCCAATTTAGTTAAAGATAAACAAAGTCAAAAATACCGCCATTTGAAAAGATCACTGAAAACTGATAACCAGGGTTCGGAAAACTACATGTTACTTTTAAAAACTACATAAACTACATTACATGTAGTTTATGTAGAGGGTGTAGTTTATGTAACTTATGTATGTAACTTTCAAATATCAAAGGTTTGAGGTGAGGTTTTAATAAGAAGCTTTTAAAACACATAATGTATTTAAGAAAACAGAAGAAATATGACTTTAAATATAATATTTACATCATATTATCTCTATTACACCTCATACAAATGAAAATTATTCATAATATCAATACATAGTTTATTAACGTAGTTTTCATGTAGTTAATAAACGGGAAAAGACGTAGTTTTTGAAGAGAAACTACACGTAATTAATCAGGTAAATTACGTCTTAATTAACTACTTCCAAACCCTGCTGATAACCAATGGGAAGCCAAGTGCATAAAGTCCTTCTCAGAACTGCGACTGTCGCCAGCGACACTTCAAAAGCACCAATGAGATTTGTACAAAATTCAAACAACTGTCAATTTTAAATTTAGTACAGCTCCCAATGACTAAAGAATATAAGGACATGTAACGCCCCTGTACGGGCTGTAGTAGAATTTGTGACGTTAGACGCCATTCGTTTGATGCCAAACAGTGAGTCATCATCCAGTCACCAGCGACAATTTTAGCGATTTTTAATAGTTTGTTGTGTGTAGTGAACTTTGTATAAACTTTGTTACAATGGTGAATTGTGTCGCTTTCAAGTGTAAAAGCCACAGCGACAAGAAAGAGCCAGGAGTTACGTTTCATAGGTAAATAAACCAGGGGGGTGACAGTGAAATAGGAAAATTGGAAACAGTCATTAGTGTCATTCTCCTCACGACAAGTATGGCCGCCTAGACAAGGACAGCATTGTTTTTGTCTAACTATTGTCTAACTTCACAGTTTAGAATTGACAGATTTCAGTTTCAGAGACAACTTCAGATTTGTTCTAGAACAAATTCGAAAATATTCGACGCCATTTTAATTCATTCCGTTTAGTTTCGTTTTGGAAGTTCAATTTAATATTTCGGCTGAAATTTATAAATATAATGGTAATAAAGTATATATAATATATATTACAAGAAGAATCCTGGAGAAAATGACGTTTCTGCAGTAGTAGGTATGTCCCATGTATATGAAAAATAGGTAGTAAATAAACACTGTTTTTACATTTTTTAGATGCAAGAAAATGGTGTTATAATATCTTTGATCGGCGATTTTTCTGAAAATGGAAGCAATTTACAGCAAGGTAAGATCATTTTTAACTATAGCCAACATTAGTTATCTCCAGTATGTGCGATTTATCGTCAATAATGCAATAAATCGGACTGATAATCTGATTATGTTATCGGACTAAAAGTCTCTTTTTGCTTCTTTTTGATTAATAAGCCCTCTTTGGGAATAATGGACGCTTTTTTAAACAGTATATTTATATTTTATACCTATTGATATTTTTACATTGTTAATTTTAGTATATAAAAAATTGTTTTTCTGTTTTCAGGTTTTTGTATAAGGCTCCCTCCCGTTTTCATGTTCCTGTGTCCGTTTTCTGCCCTTGAAGTCTGCGAATACGTGTGTTTATTTACAAATTACTGTAAGTCATGCTTATACCTTAACTAATTTACGTTAAAAGTACATATAATTAACTAATTGGTATTGAAACAATACAATCCTCTATATTTTTATATTTATTTAGTCACGTTGTTCCATATTTCAAATAAATATATGTGAATAAATAATTTTTGGTTTTATTTATGAAAGAAAAAAATACAAAATACATTTGAACTGAAAGAGGACCCGCCATTGAATAACCGGAAACGGAAATGAGAATTAAGCCATCATGTCCTTATCATGTCAACCTGTCGATTGGAAAATTAGTTCTCCAGACGACAACGAAGGCTTTCGGTGGCGTATCGTGTTTCCACGATTTAACACAGAGTTGACACTTCTTTCTAGTTAATTATTTTATGAAATAAACAGTCCACTCCAACTTTTTAGCGTTTTCTTATTGAATTCGATAATTATTCTTCAATTTCAATTAACATCTATATGTACTTGATATGTGCTATACGTCGATACTAGTTTTGTATCTTTTGTTAACATTTTAGTACGTTTTTTTCGTAATTAGTTAGGATGATACACCATAGGCGTAGTCAAAACAATTATCAAAAAATATAAATATTGCTTCAAACAGCTAGGTTAAGAAAAATATGTGCCACGGCACTGTTTGATGCCAGCGTCACAATTTGCTGTCGGGTGTTATTTGTCCTTGGATTCTTTAGTCATTGACAGCTCCCATTGGTCGTTTGAAATGTCAATCAGTGTCGCTGTCAACACGACGCGGTTAAAGTCCCTAGATATATATATATATATATATATATCTAGGGACTTTAGACGCAGTTCTGAGAACGGGGCTTAAGGCAGAGGTCTTCTATATATCCCTGGGCAGAGGCATCCAGGGACCGAGTTGAAGTTGGCGCTAAAGATTTTAGACAGTGACAGTTATTTTTGCGTTTGACGGACGAGCGCACAGTGCGGTGGAAGATAAATTTAGCGGGACAAAACCGTTTTGTTAGAAATAAGCTAATAATTTGTACTGATAAGAATAAATAGTAGACATTCCAAATGATATAAAAATGCATGAATATTCTTTGTATTTCGATAGATTTTTATGAACCAAATTTGGTCGTTTTCTGCTCAGCAAGGCAGAGATCATACGAAAACAAAATATTTACAAGTGCTTATACATTTTATTCCAAAGCCAAATTATGTTGAAGATTGCCAAAGGTATGTACTTTTCTACTGTACGTATATTATTTGTTAAAATCCTTCGTGCCTTTGTTCTGCAGATATCAAACTTTCACGTTTTTTTCAAATATCGATATATTAGAGAACAACGGCATACGGTCGAGTCGGCTGCTTCTGGCACGTATACGTAGACGTAAAGAATCTTTTACGTGTATAAAAAATAAAAAATAGAAGAAATGCGCATGCGTACGTAAACGTTTACGTGTTTGTAGGCCGACTCGACCGTATGCCGTTGTTCTCTATTGAATGATGTAGATCTTTTGAGTTACCAATAGTTACCAACACAGGTAGTCACAGTCACCCGGAGTTCAAGCTTAACAGATGAATGCCCAAAAGTTTCATTTCATTCGTCTCGTTAAAGTTAAAGGGTTAATTGAAGAGCATTCAAAAGAAGAATTGGGTTTTGCAAGTACTATGAGCTTTAGGGCTAGTGGGAGTAAGAATGCTGCTGTAATTGTTGAAATTGAATTGCTGTAATTGTTGAAAACCCTGAGGGTGCAGCCCTTAGACAAGGAAAGAGAGGGGACGGCTAACACGCATATTCTCCCGTGATCGGTTAGTGAGGCCAAAATTCGATCGGCGGCCATACTTTGGTGACAAGATTTCGAGGTGACACCGAGAGAATTTTTATGTTTTTTGTGACAACTGTTTTGTTTTAAATTTATAAACTGTATTGTTTAGTATGGTGAGATGTTCAGCGTATGGCTGCAAAGGCCGAAGCGAGAAAAAAGTGGCGGGAATTATATTTCACAGGTAAAAATCGATACACAACTTTTGTTATGTGGTCATAAAATGTACATTTTTTCATTATAGCAGTAAAAATATGTAAAATGCTTTTAATATGTTTTGCACCACATCCAAACCAAACTATTTTTAATAATTCCAAGTAGTATTTTCAATATCCTTTAATTAATGTTTGAAACTATAAAAAATGCTACTCAGCATGGATTTCTCCAGTGGCGTAGGGAATTATAATCAGAGAAATACAATTTCTGCAATAAACTTTTTCTATATATTTTACATGTAAAAAAATGTATAACGTATTGTTATCAAATATGTAAAATAATTGTAAACTATAAAAAAAAATTAAAAATTCTAGTGATAAAAAATCTATCTGTATAGTTGTTATATAAAACTTAAATTTACCTGCCAAGATTTGCTAGGAGTGGACAAACTTGTGGTGGGCTTCTTGTTACTACATATATTTCTTTAAATATTCTTTCAAAAAATTTGCTAATTTAGGTGTATAATAATAGTCTCAGTGAGTAATTAATAAACATTTATAAATAAATAAAATAACACAAAGCTTCTAGAATTGTTTATTTTTTTGTGGAAAATTAGGATATTCTTATGATTGAAGGTAACAAATATTAAAAATTACATTATTCATAGAATCCGTACGTAAGTGTGAAGGGGAATGGCTAGATTTATATTATACCGTATGGTCGAAAAAAAACGACGTCCAGTTGGCTTGTAAATGACGATCGACGACATTCCCCATATAATTTTACATATAAAATGACAGCGATCTTTATTTCATAGCTATCGCTGACG